GTCGCGGCCACACGCTTTGCCTCGGGGCCTTAAGTTTTTATCTTAAAATGAGCTGGACGCAGGTGGCTCACGCCTGTAATCCTAGACACGCGAGAAGCTGAGATCTGAATCGTGATTCGAAGCCAGCTGGGGCAGAAAAGTTCTCGTGAGACTGTTATCTCTAATTAACTACTCAAAAGAGGGACGTCGTGCAGTTGGTTCACAGTGGTAGCCTGCTAGCCGTGAGCAGAGAACTCAGGGATGGAGAGTTCAAGACTCACAACTCAAAAAATAAAAAACAAACAAACCACAGTCTATGTGCTGGGAAGGTGGCTCAGTGGTAGAGCGCTTGCCTTGCATTTATGAGGCCCTGGGTTCGATTCCTCAGCACCACATAAGCAAAAAGAAAAAAACCAAAAGTGGGGCTGTGGCTCAAGTGGTAGAGCGCTAGCCTTGAGCTGAAGAGCTGAGGGACAGTGCCCAGGCCCAGAGTTCAGGCCCCACGACCGGACCCAAAAACAAAAAACAAAACAAAACCACAGTCTGGGAAGGTGGCTCAATGATAGAGTGCTTGCCTTGCATGCATGAGGCCCTGAATTCGATTCTTTAGCACCACATAAGTAGAAAAAGCCAGAAGTGGTGCTGTGGCTCAAATGGTAGAGAGCTAGCCTTGAGCTAAAGAGCTGAGGGACAGCGCCCAGACCCAGAGGTCAAGCCCCATGACCAACAACAACAACAAAAGAGGGAAAGTCTTTTGTCAGTTTTCAAAGTACATGTACCCTATATGAAAACATCACATTCTGTTAGGACACTCTCAGAAAGCTACCTCACCAATTTCAAGGAAAACAGCACCTTGCTGTGCACTGGTGAATCAAGCCTGAAATCCTACCTAGTAAGGAGGCTGAGATCTGAGGATTATGGTTCAAAGCCAGCTCAGGCAGAAAAGTCCATGATACTCTTATCTCCAATTAATCAACAGAAAACCTTAAGTGGTGTTGTGGCTCTTGTGGGAAAGCACTAGCCTTGAGCTGAAGAGCTGAGGGACATCTGTCTGACCAAAGAATCAAACAAAAAACATGATTTATGGAGGCTATTAAACACATACACACACACACACACATGATGTTAAGTGGAAATAATTGCAAAAGGTCATATATGATAGTTGAAAGTGGTAGAGTGCTTGCCTTGCATGCATGAGGCCCTGGGTTCAATTCCTCAGCACCATATAAGCAGAAAAAGCCAGAACTAACATTATGGCTCAAGTGGTAGAGCACTAGCCTTGAGCTAAAGAGCTGAGGGACAGTGTCCAAGCCTAGAGTTCAGGCCACAACTGACCAAAAAAAAAAAATCTTTCATTTAAATAAATAATTTGTACTTTTTCATCAGACCTGCAATTTTACATCTAATTAAAAATAAAATTAAGAGCTAGGCACCAGTGATTTGCGCTGAGATCTGAGGGATCACGGTTCAAAGCCAGTCGGGGCAAGAAAGTCTATGAGACTCTTATCTCCAATTAATCATCAGAAAACCAGAAGTGGTGCTGTGGCTCAAGTGGTAGAGCACTAGCCTTGAACTGAAGAGCTCAGGAACAGCGCCCAGGCCCAGAGTTCAAGCCCCACGACTGACCAAAAAAATAAAAAATAAACAAAATATTGTGTCCATGGTTAATGCTTGTAATCCTGTAATCCTACCCATCCAGACAACTGAAATCTGCAGAATTCAGCCCCAGTAGAAGTCTTTGAGACTCTATCTCAGTATACCCACAGGAAATATAAATTTCTCTTTTTTTTTGGACCTATATAAATATGGGAACAAATAATTCACCAGTAAACTTGTTTTAGGATTTATTTTTATTTATTTATTTATTTTTTGCCAATCGGGGGCTTAAACTCAGGACCTGGGCACAGGCCCTGAGCTGCTTTTGCTCAAAGCTACCACTCTACCACTTGAGCCACAGCGCCACTTCTGGCTTTATCTATATATGTGGTACTGAGGAATTGAACCCAGGGCTTCATGCATGCTAGGCGAGCACTCTACCACTGAGCCACATTCCAAGCCCCAGTAAATTTGTTTTAGAAAAACACATCATGGCGCTGGGTGCTGGTGGCTCACGCCTGTAATCCTAGTTACTCAGCAGGCTGAGATCTGAGGATTAAGGTTCAAAGCCAGCCCAGGCAGGAAAGTTCAAGAGACTCTTAGCTCCAATAAACCACTAGAAAACCGGAAGTGGCGCTGTGGCTCAAGTGGTAGACTGTTCGCCTTGAGCTGAAGAGCTGAGTTCAAGCCCAGAGTTCAAGCCACAACCGACAAACAAAAAAGAAAAACACATCATGGCTACATACGTAGACCTACGTTCAAACCCCAACACCAGAGAAACAAGACAAAGAAAAAAAGTCACAATGTGAACCCAAGGTGTTTTTTGTTTTGTTTGTTTTTCAAGTCCTGAGGCTGAACTCAGGGACTGGGCATTGTCCCTGGGCCTCTTTGTGCTCAAGGCTAGTGCTCAACCACTTGAGCCACATAACCACTTCCAGCTTTTTCTGAGTAGTTTATTAGGGATAATAGTCTCACAGGGGCTGAGTGGCTTAGTGGTAGAGTGTCTTAGCATGCATGAAGCCCTAAGTCTGATTCCTCAGTACCCGATTAACAGAAAAAGCTGGAAGTGGTGCTCTGTGGCTGTAGTAGTAGAGTGCTAGCTTTGAACAAAAGCTCAGGGACAGTGCCTAGGCCCTGAGTTCAAGCACCAGGACTGGCAAAAAAGAAAAAAGGATGATACTCTACCAATTGTGCTACACCTCTACTTCTGTTTGTTTGTTTTTTTTTTTTTTTTTTTGTCAGTTGTGGGGCTTGAACTCTGAGCCTGGGCACTGTACCTAAGCTCTTCACTTCAAGGTGAGCACTCTACACTTGAGCCACAGTGCCACTTTTGGTTTTCTGGTGGTTAGTTGGAGGTAAGTCTCATGGACTTTCCTGCCCAGACTAGCTTTGAACCTTGACCCTCAGATCTGAGCCTCCTCAGGAGTGAGCCATAAGTGCCCAGCTCTTTGATGGTTAGAAGTAAGAGTTTTATTTACTTTTTGGATCTCAACCTATAAGTAGTTATGATTATACTGTGTGTGTGTGTGTTAGTGCTGGGGATCACATTCAGGTCCTAATACAGCCATAGCACACCCCATTTTTTTCCTTTCTTAAGCCACAGCACCACTTCCAGCTTTATTTTCTATGATTAATAGGAGATCAGAGTCTCATGGTCTTTCTTGCCCAGGCTGAATTCGAACCACAATCCTCAGAGCTCAGCCTCCTGAGTAGCTATGATTAGAGGCATGAACCACTAGTGCCCAGATTCCTTATTTTTTATTTTATTTTTATTTATTTTTTTTGGGGGGTCCAGTCGTGGGGCCTGAACTCTGGGCCTGAGTGCTGTCCCTCAGCTCTTCAGCTCAAGGCTAGCACTCTACCACTTGAGCCACAGCACCACTTCTGGCTTTTTCTGTGTATGTGGTACTGAGGAATCAAACCCAGGATTTCATGCATGCAAGGCAAGCACTCTACCACTAAGCCACATTCCCAGCCTGGCTTCTTTATATTTTTTTTCTTCTTTCCTTTCTTTTTTGGTGCCAGTATTGGGACTTGAAATAACACATTGTACTCGCCTCAATGCTGGCACTCTACCAATTAATCATGCCTCCAGTCTGGCCTTTTGCTGGTTAACTGGAGATAGGAGTCTCAGATTCTTCTACTTGGGTTGGCTTCAAACTATGATCCTCCAATTCTCAGCCTCCTGAGTAGCCAGGATTACAGACATCCATTGCATCTAATTTTTCCAATTTTTAAAACCCCAAGTCTTTTGTTTGTTTTTTGGGTCCGCTCGTGGGGCTTGAACTCTGGGCCTGGGCGCTGTCCCTCAGCTCTTCAGTTCAAGGCTAGCACTCTATCACTTGAGCCACAGTGCCACTTCTGCCTTTTTTTTTTTTCTGCTTATGTGGTGCTGAGGAATCGAACACAGGGCCTCATGCATGCAAGGCAAATACTCTACCACTGAGCCACCTTTTCAGCCCCAAACCCCAAGTCTTATCCTCAGGAAATATTCAAAGTTCCCTGCTCTCCAAAACCTTTGCTTAATGAGCTAAAAATAATGGGTGCCTTTACAATACAAAGAGCATGACTGTTCATTGGAAGAAACTGTCCTCTGGGGCTGGGAAGGTAGCTCAGTGGTAGAGCGCTTGCCTTGCATTTATGAGGCCCTGGGTTCGATTCCTCAGCACCACATAAGCA